ATATATATATATATATGCTTACCTACTCTTTCGGGTGTATTTTCTCCATTCCATCGCCTTGAAGGAAATGCTGTAGTACCCGTGCAGCAAATTACATGAGTAACTCCCTACGAAACAAGTCCTATAGTTTGATTCCATAGATAGGTTAAAAACCAAATGTAGCAATATTAATAAATATATAGGCATTTCCATACACGCCAACCAATTTTTATGGATTTACACATCTAATACCTTGTTGCGTCATGTATTAAATTTATCATTTGACACAAATCTTGAAGCATTTGACAGAACTTGAGGCATTTTTTGAGTAAGAAATACCCTTATTCAAATTAAAAAGCACAAAGAGCTCCAATTTCAGTAAACTTATAGTAAAACTGACGGCTCGACGAGACGGACCCAATAATGCCAAAATTGATCAAATTTGAGTCAAATCAAGCCCAGATCAAACCGTTAAATCACTTTTGGAGTCTTCGGTTGGTTATTTGACATGTCTATAGTGAATTGAACATCTCAATGAGAGGAATCCAACGAGCCCAAGATCACATGATTCTAAAGTCATTAAGGCCATCATATCACAAAAAATCTTCTATGATCAAAGAGAATCAATGAGCCATTCGATCCGGTGGTTATTTGTCAAAGATAGAAAATTCCCCTCCTTCAGGGCTTATAAATAGACCCCTCTCTTCACTTAGGGAGAGAGAGAAATCTTCTATGATCAAAGAGAATCAATGAGCCATTCAACCCGGTGGTTATTTGTCAAAGATAGAAAATTTCCCTCCTTCAGGGCTTATAAATAGACCTCTCTCTTCACTTAGGGAGAGAGACTTAGGGAGAGAGAGAAGAAGAGATGGAGCCTAATTCTAGTGCAGTTCTGGACTGAAGACCTAGCAATTACTTTCGGCATCTGTAGTTGTTTATCATCGCCGCCCACCGCCCACCGCCTCTAACCGCCCCGTTCTCACCACTGTTGGTGGACTCTGTTGAGTAATGAAGTATCCTGTTGAATGACGAAGTATCATGCCGAGGTAACGAACGGCCCTGTTGAGTAACAAAATATCCTTTTGAATAACGAAGTATCATATTGAAGGACTCTGTTGAGTAACAAAATATTCTATCGAGTAACAAAGTATCCTATGAAGGCACAAAGTATCTTGTAAAGGAACAAAACATATATTTGAGTAACGAAGTACTCTATTTAGTAATGAAGAACTCTGTTGAATAACCAAAAACTCCATTGAGTAACAAAGTATCCTAAATACTATGCAACGACGTACCTCGAACACGATGTATTAGAGCCCCCACAATAACTTCCAGTAGCAATTGCTCTCGAGCGTTGTATTCAAAATACTTCGAATATTTTTGTATTTTGTGGACGGATAAACATTGCACTTAGTGTAAAATTATAACAATTTCCAAGTTGTGGAATAAAGGTTTATCTTTGTACTTGCAAATTTATGGTAGATCATTTTCACTAGGCGATGCCTTATGATTTTTTCTCTTTTCTAGTTTTCCGTATAAGAAGCCATGCTGTCCTTCCCCTATTATTTTTTATTATTAGTGAGTGTGCTAGATTTTCATAAAATACTATTTTATTGCCATGAATTTTTTGTCGTGCAACAATTTAACACCGTCTATGGGAAATAAACTTGAATTGATAGAAGTTTGCACTTCATCGATAGCTAACAAATGTATTACACATGCTTTGCACCCTAACACCCGTCAAGCTGAGGTTTCAATTGAGAACCTAGGATAAGTCAAAAATACCTAGTAGATTTTTTTCAACCTCTTCCGTAATAAGTTAGGGTCGCCGAGCAAATGCTTCGACTAACAACTTAGGATAGGTTGTGCATCCCTAAATAGGAATTTTTTCTTCTTCAGTAGTTCAACCCGGGACAAGTTAACTTTGTTTGAGTAACTCAGAAATTATTAATAACTATCAACTTGCCTTGCAACCCGATATTGTACCGTTACATTAAGGGTAAAAAGACATTCAAAGGATGCAATATGAAACAAATGTGCTATCAGACCAAAGATATATAAATAAATACACTATCATAATATGTACAAACTACATCAAACAAATTAAAAGCTGCAGAAACAAACAAACTGACAAACACGAACTAATAGTCAACTACATCATCCTCGTCGTCGTCTGAGATGTGCTCCTGCAAGTCACTCTCCACTTCTTCACATTCTGAGTAGAAAGGTGGGGCTTTCAAGGTCTGACTGGGATTTAGTCCCTTTATGTCGTCTATGGTTCAAAGGTACACCGCTCGAGTCGCTTTTAGAAAGCCTCAGATAAATCCCTCCTTGATGCACTCTTATGCAGCTTCTTCACCTCAACATTATATATGAGGTCACGAGCTTTCTGAGCATAATCTTGAATAATGCTCCAAAACTCAATCAAGCACTTGAAGTCCTACATAGCTCTCAAACCAACACCAGTAGCATCAGTCTCCTTCTTGGACCTCAATTTCTTATTTTCTTGGTACTCTGACTAAGGTTGGCCTAAGCCTCTACCAATTCCTCCCGAGTACTCTCCAAATCACGACACTGCGACGAGAGAGAAATCGCCATCATGGACAACTCTATCCCACTCTATGTCAACCGAGTCTTTAAGACCGCTACTTCTTCAGGTTTTGAATCATATCTCCGCCTGTACCCGCCCTTTAAGAATTTGATCTTGACTAATTCAAAGTTCTTATCAAGAAAAGATTGAACCCCGCTTTAAGTTCCATACTTTTCAACATTTGAAAAAAATAATTTCAAGTTAGAGAGACGAAAAAATTACAAAACAAAGAAATTTGACGCATGAAAAGAAGGTACAAATTCCTCAGCTTGTTGATATTCAATGCATGAATGATTAAGCACACTCCCCAGAATATGGATCTTCGAAGAACTGGTTGGGGGGTTTCTCACTCCTTTGTTCCTTTTACTTAGCTTTGGAGGAAGGATCTTGTAGTCACTGTCCCGCAAAGGCCACTTCGGAGGTGCAATAGGAGTCAGTCCAAGGCACTTCTTGAATTTCTTTAATATCATCGCAAAAATTGCTTAGGATGGATATGAATGCTTGTTTTAAATGAAAATTCCTCGCTCACAAATTTGTTGATATATTGCACCTCAAATTGAAGACTCTGAGGTCCTAAAATCCATGCATTTGTTGTATCTCATCTACTGTGATTTGGAGAGAAGTATGTAGCTATTGTAGTTCCCTTGACTCTTGCGAAATCCCTAGTCATTCTTCAGAAGGAAAAATCTGACGAACCAATACCATATTGGATCATTTGTATGAAGATCTAATATCTTGCTCTTGAAGGATATGCATCCATGTACGTCAATAGCAAACCCACCAAGCTTGGCTAAGATCTCTGACATCAGCTTGGCCCCCCGTTTCCTGAAAAAGGCGATCAACCCAATAACAATATCCAGTGCCTGACACGCGAACTATAGTAGAAACCAAAGTTCTGGTCGCAAAGTTGCCACGTAAATTGCAATGTATTTTGAAGAAGGGGAATATACTTGACAATCCAAGCAAGGAACTCACCACCAAGTTGTTTGAAAAGTGAAACCTCTTCTGAAATATTATTATGTCATTCTCTGTAAGTATCAAAATCCAATCATTAGGATTCTACTACTTCCTTTGATTTTCAGGCAGAATGGACTCCAACGATTATGCTACACCAACTCATAAGGGAAAAAAATCTCATAAGGGAAAAAAAATGGCGTACATAAGACGCACGCAGCGCTGCGTGCGATACCCAATTATCGGAAGACGCATCAGCAGCGCAGACCCCATCTTAAAACAAATAGACTTTTTACGCGCGTGACCCGTCAACCCGACCCGTCATTGTAACCTCCATGTAATCCCGCTGTAATCTCCACTGTTACCCCCCTATAAAGTGCTTGTAAGCCCTATGTAACCCCGATGTAATCTCCGCTGTCACCCCCCCTGTAACGCGCGTGTACACTGGATGTAATACCGGTGTAACCTATGCGCTCAACCCCCCTGTAACACGGCTGTACACTAAATATAACCCTGGTGTAACCTCCGCGGTCACGACCCTGAACTGTGCGTGTACACTGGATGTAACTCTGGTGTAAGTTCCACGGTAACGCCCCTGTATCACGCGTGTATTCTTGTTGTAAAACCGCTGTAACCTCTGCGGTCAGGCTGTACCGCGAATGTAACCCGAATGTAATGTTCCTCTAATGTCTTCCACGCGAAATCGTCAATGTACCCCTTGTGTAACTTCAATGTAACAGCGAGTTACACAAATTGGAGCACGGGAATCACGGTATTTAAGAAGCTAGGGTTACTGTTCTATTGTTCTCTGCCCATTTTCTTCTGCAGTGGCGGCTTCCGACAGCTGGACTTCTCGAACTTAAAGATGGAGTATGAGTACAGAGATTGCCAGTTTGTGTATGATGTTGAAGGAGAAGATGAGAGTTATCTTGTCAGGAAAGATGAAGTGAAACTTAAATCGGAGGTGTGTTTGGAGATTTCTTATTATATATTTTTAGGGCTTTATTCAATGTTGTTTGCTGATTGGGCTTTCTTATTTTTTGAGTTATGTTGGTAGAGTTGCATTGTATTAGATTTAATAAAAACTGTGAAGTAAAAATTGAAGTAAATATTATATCTGACATTTAAATCCAGTAAAAACAGTGAAGTAAATAACTAGGTTTTGAATTTTTTTTTATTATGAGCTGTTATTATGAATTTTAGGGTTGTTTTTGTGCAGCTTGGTGAGAACAAAGGTAGTTGTACCGAGCAAACAACCAACATATTACTCCAAACAATAGTCCACAATGAGAAAAAAACTTATGAAGTATATTGTGCTTACGCTCATCATATTGGATTCAGTGTTCGCAAGGAGCACGCTACGTTTTGGCCTAACTCCAGAAAAATCAGGACGAAGGACTTTGTATGTAGAAAATCAGGTTTCAAGAAAAAACTCAAAATTACAGAAACTGTTAAATACAGAAGAGTACAAACAAGAATCGGTTGCCCTGCAATGATTCGATACGGACTTGATAAGGAAGACAACAGGGCAGTTAAAAAATTAATTGAAGCACACAACCACTCATTAACGAACCCTGGTGACAA